GTTCCCCTCGTTAAGACGGCGTTGCGCCTTGCCACATAAGCCTCGTCTCTTCTCGTTAAGGCCCATACCGGCTACTCTGATGAAATCGGGCCTCGTTGATATCATTTGATATTTCTTAGTGGTCTTCAACCAAATGCTGACAGCTGGTTCCATATTACATTTTAACAAGTTTTTGGAGGATGAAGTAATGAAATCGAAGACGATGCCTTTTTTTTCTTGTAACGATTTGAAGTTTCTATACCAAATGAAATTGACGGAGTTGATCTCCCCGGTTAGAAAGCATCGTTGTAGTATCGGGAAATTTTAAAGATTCAAATTAGTCATCTCCCAACAAAGGAGATGTGGAAAATTGGAAAATACAAAAGAGTGTGAAAAAAAAGACCAGGAGTCGCCATTTTGATCATCAAGACTCGCCATTTTGATCATCTAGACTGGAATCCACCAGACAAAAGGTTTTTCCAAGTTGACATGCATGACAGACAGAAAACTTATTAGGAGAAGCTGTTATAAACTTGCGAGATTGTAAAAACTTTAAAATGGTGGGGCCGGGATGCCCTAAGCGACGATGCTAGACTGGGAGAGACACGGAAGCAAGGTTAGTAGCAGAGTGTTGCGAAGAGGACGGAGTGATGGGATAGAGATCTCCAGTACTGTCACAGCGTTGGAGCAAAGTACCTGAATCAAGAACCTTAACAGAAAAACCAAAAGGGTCAAAAGTAATTGAAACAGAGTTGTCAGTGGTAAATTTACGCACAGACACAAGATTTTTAACAATTTTATCAGACAAAAGAATATCTTTGAGTATAAATTTGTTATGAGAAAAAGGGGAAAAAGAGTGGCCTGTGTGACTAACCGGAAGAAGAGCACCATTACCAACCATGATAGACTTAGAATTACATGGGATAAGGGAAAGCAAATTACCTTGATTAAATGACATATGTGAGCTCGCGCCAGTATCCATGTAGTAATTGTTATCTGGTGGTGGTTGTACTGACATCGCTTGGAAGATGGAGCTAAGGTCAGTCATTTGCTGAGTTAGAGCCGGACCTTGACCACCAAAGAAATTTGTTGACTGTTGTGGGGTGTAGCCGAAGGCAGCAGGCCTATTTTGCGCAAAGTGTGACTGGCCATAGGGCTGTTGCTGGACCGAGAAAGAAGAGTGGACCGGCTGCTGGAACTGGGCTGATGATGGCTGCTGAATAGGAGTAGTGTGCATCATCAGAGGGTGGGCCGAAGGTGCTCCAAAGGCTGCTGGAAGAGATGGATTTGGGCCAACAGAAGAGTATTGCTGAAACTGCTGTGGATTGATCCCTGTAGTCGGTTGAAGTGTTGGAGCAAAATTCTGATTTGTTGGTTGTGAACCAAGTAACCTGCAAAATGAGATTGTTGACCCGAACCACTTCCTGCAATTTGGTTAGTACTAACATACGAGCTAGAATTACCCCCCCTAGAAGCAACCCGATTGTTATTTCGATTTTTATTCCATTTATTTTTAGATTTTCCGGAATTTGTCGATGTCGGGTAAAGAACAGCATTCGAGGTAGTTGAGCTATCTAGTGTGACATCAATAGTTTCTTCACGAGCTTCATGTAATAACAACATGTTTTTAGCCTCTAAAAAAGATGGGAATGGCTTTGTGTTGGTAATAACATCAACAATGTTGTGATATGACGGCGGCAATTGGCGTAGTATTTGCATGACAAGCTCGATATCTGTGATCTCGGAGTCGACATCCAATAATGCATCAGCCAGATTCTTCAACGTGTGGCAGAATTCAGTTATTGAGGAGGTACCCTTCTTCGTATTTCTGAATTGATCTTGCAATTGAAGCATGCGAGACATTTTGTTATTAAGGAAGAATTTGTCAAGTTCATCCCAAAGATCTTTAGCTGTACAGTTGTCTTGTGATATGATTTGAAGCAGATTTGCATCAACTGTGGAGTAGAACCAGGACTTAACACGAGAATCAATGGATTCCCAGTCTTCATCTTCATTACTTGTTGGTTTTGATTTTCCAGTAATATGTCCCATGACTTTGGCACCTTTGCAAATATCAGTAAAGATTCGTCTCCAAAGTTTGTATTTGGACCCATCCACAGTTAGTTTGAAACTGAACTGATTGTATATGTTAGTGACCGCATAGACAAGAGTTTGAGCGGTTGGGACAGTAGATGAGGATGATCCAGGGGCAGACATAATTCCAAAAAATTTAAAAACAGTGAAATAAAAAGAACGAAAGAACAGTAGCTTGCTTACTGAGAGAAGAAGAATTATAGCCGTATGAAGTGCTAATCCTGGAAGATGTGATTAAGCAGGATCTCGAAGATTCTGAATCAGGAGAAAGCGGCGACAGAAGAAAATTCATACGTATGAGCAGGAGAGAATACGTATAGGGCTTGATACCATGTTTGATAGTGAAAATACCCGTTAGGGTTTCTGTGTGTATTCCATCTGTATAAATAGTACAAGCAAGAATGCAGAAAATACAATAAGGACCCTATATTATACAATGTATAACAATATAAACTAACATTTACATTATTATCGAATCAAAGAAACTATCGTTGAATAAAAAGCATGTGTGATTCACATTTCTTAAACACATTTATATATTTACTATTCTTTATTAATAAGTTCCAAAATACATTTGTTTGGTAAATCTTCTTTTAATTATCCCTATATGGTTTAGAACTCTACACCGTTACATAATTTTTTTATGACTTGTAAAAGAGATAATTATGAAAAAAGAACTATTTTTTTTCAATTTTCTGGTTTAACTATCAAATTTTCATTTGTGCTGAAAGAACTTTTAGATAAAAGTTCTATCATGACTACTATAACTTGTATTTGTGCTAAAACCCAACCAATTTTTGTTTTTGCTAAAAAACCACCTTTAAATTGGTGGTCAAAACAAACTTTTGAAAAAATATAATGATTTTTTCATAATTAACCTAACATCTTATAAGTAACAATGGTCACATTGAAATTTTTACCAAAATGGGGTGGTTTTTTTAGAACTTATTAAAAAATGATGGTTAAACCAAACATTAAAAAAAAAATGTAGTGTATTTTTCGTAATTTTCATCTTGTAAAATTCTAAAATTGAAAGGGTTTAAAATCGACATCCTGAAAACGTGAAGTGGTGGTGTGGTAATTTTTCTCTCTATAAAAGGTGCAAAATCCCCTTCTCAAATCTCAAACACCAGAGAGCCGACGCCGATGGATCTTTGTTTTTCTTCTATTGCCTTTTTCTCTCTTTATCTCGTATGTGAATATCAAAGTCACTGATAAACTGCCGATGATGTATGATGTATTTTCATTGGTTTTATGTTTGTACTATTGTTGTATAGTGTTCAGGCAACAATTTAGAGTCTCTCATTCGCTTGATGATAGTGGATTGAGTGCTGTACGTTGCCAAAATGAAAGGGTACTGATATTCTGGCATTCTAAGATCTAATGTTCTTATCAATGCATTCTGATGTCCCTACAATCTTTCAAACAATTATAACTGTTTTCAGCTGTTATTATTTTGTCTTTTGGGGTAATGAACTCTACTATAAAGCCTGTTCAGTATCCGTGGAGAGGAGAACGTTGCCCAACATTTTGATTAATGTTCTTACTATTTATCTATTCGTATAATCGACTATTATTATTATTTTCTGACTGGTTATTTCAGTATACTGTTAACCCTTAATGTGCAAGGGTAATTTTGGTATTTAAAAAATAAAGGTAGAATGTTGAAATTGGATGGATTTTTCAAAAATAATATGCCCAATTATAACAAGGCTTGTAAGAAGTTGAAATCATCTAGACCATGACCACGTTCCTTAGTCCAAATATATTGAAGGTTATCTTTACATAGAAATTAAAGAACTTGATTCATGATTTTTTAGCCTAGTTACCTAGGATTGTGCATTACTGTTTCAAAATATGTTACAACTCGAAGGACTGAATATACATCTCGTGAGACTATGAGGTTATTATGTTAAAGATACAAAATAGCATAGTAACAATCATTTAGTAGGAAATAATAAAAGCATTTTGCTATAATGAACATATAAATGGAACTAGGAATGTTACCCATTTGACACAGAAATAACAACGTAGTTTCTGTAAACTTTCCTAGAAACATCTTAATTTCTGTAATGGTTTGGAAATAGCATAATGTCTAATTTTAGCATTTAAACATGTGAGGTCTTGTTTAAGCATGGATGAAGTATAAAACATAGAGCGAGGGTGATCATCGTCATATTCCGAGGTCTCGTTCTTCACAACATACACACACATACAATTCAGAGAGAGCTTATTATCGTATGAAGAACTAATAGGTTTACGCTTATCATCGTATGAAGAACTAATAGGTTTACGCTGTGTAAAATTGTAAATCTTTTGTGTTGATTTTTGTTCTTAAGATCATTATCAAGTTGTACATAAGTTTTACTAAAGTCTCTGATTTGTATGATAAAACTAGTTTGATAATAGATTGATACTCAATTGCTCGTTCGCCAACAAGACGTGAGAAAGGGTTGTCGAATGGTGTAATTTGAAGCTAGAATTACAATCTAGTTTGTAATATTTTTTGTCCATGACTTTAACCCTTTCAGACCAAAAGAAATCCAAGCTTTTAGGTGCAAAACTTCTATGTTGTCTGTTAACAACTAGGAAAGAGATGCTGTTGCTCAGAAAAGGCTCAGATGGGTACCTAAAGTAGTCGATAACATTCCGTCTCTTTCACTTTTATCGATAAAAATTGATTCGAGGTTCCGTAGCTTTATATGGGTTGAAACACGATTGATTAATGTTTTCTCCACCCTTAGTCTGAATAAATTTGTACTTCGTTCCTTTAGCATTTTCATAGTTATAATATAATTTCGGATCAAAAAGACAATAAAACATATCGTGACTAGCTAAACATTGCTTCAAATTCTCATCAACTTGTTTATAGCTGTAACATGTCAAATAGCATATGTAACACTTTTAAAACATGAAACATTCAAAACCTATCTAGGAGCTATCTCAGATATGGAGACAATATTTTCGGAAAAAATCAGGAGTGGCACTTGTGGATGAATGGTATTACGTATGAAAAATGCAGGCTCTGAGGGTATTGCAAGCGCGAGAGAGAAGCTATTAAGCATATGAACAACCTCAGCCATGGTTGGCCTGTCACAAGAATTTTCTTGAACGCATAATAAAGCAATATGGATAATTCTAGTGATGTCGCACAATGAATCGGATCCAGTCGTCAATGTGAGATCTATAATGTTTGACACAGTCCCATTTTGCCAACTTTTCCATGCCTAAAAGAGATTAACAATTTTTTTCTTAACATAGTCACACTAGCTAAATTTAGAAAGCTCAATTTTAGGGAATGTTTCCATGCATACACATAATACGATTTTGTTTCTGTACGTATATGTATTCTTTTAGAGTTTATTGAATCATTGGGTACTTACATAGCTAAGAAGGTGTTCCATGCTCTCTCCATTACGAATGTATTGGTTCTTTTGACCTGTTACCATTTCTAACACCAAAACTCCGAAGCTAAATACATCTGATTTTATTGAGAATTGGCCATGCATGGCATATTCTGGTGCCATGTAACCACTATTTGATGCATCATAGAATGACAAAAGGTCAGTAGTTACACTAAAATGACATGTTAATAAGAAAAGTATAGTTAGTGATCTTTCCATCATAAGAGTTTTCCAAAGGAAGTATACTTACTAGGTTCCAACTATTCGATGTGTGTCGCCTTGAGTTTCCTCAGGGTTAAACAATCTGGCCATGCCAAAATCTGCAATTTTAGGATTCATTTCAACATCTAACAAAATATTACTGGTTTTCAAATCGCGATGAATAATCCTTAGACGGGAGTCTTCATGAAGGTATAAAAGTCCCTTGGCGATGCCTTTGATGATCTTGTATCGCTTTTCCCAATCAAGTATTGTATGCTTAGTTGGATCTACAAACAACAACAAGTATATAAGTCTACACAAAAGCAATATTCACTACAAAAATAAAACATCATTTGCTACTCCCCGTGTGTAATTGGTAAACATTGTTCACTCCTTTCAAACAAAAACTTTTTTGGTTACAAGTGTTGCTGAATTTAATTCTTGACAGGTCGTATGAGAAGTATTTTGTTAACAACATACCAGTAATTTGTGGAATATCTAGTTTTTAAGTCTTTTGAGGGATGCAACAAGTTGGGTCGAGAAAGAGGTCGCCCTTCAGAACTTACCAAATATAAACTGATCAAGACTTGCATTCTGTAGGAACTCATAAATGAGAAGTCGCTCACTTCCTTCTAAGCTGAAACCAAGCAGCCTAACCAAATTACGATGCTGAAGCTTGGCGACAAGCAAAACCTCATTCTTGAATTCTATGTCACCTTGCCCAGAATCCCTTGCTAGCCGCTTAACTGCAATTTCTTGTCCATCCCCAAGTTTACCCTAAATATCATATAATAGTATATATCTACGTTAAAAAAATATCAAAATTCTCAACTTTTGGCACCTAACTACCAAGATCACTTGTTATTACCTTGTAAACCGCTCCAAATCCACCTTTCCCAAGTTTATTGTCTTCCGAGAACTCATTTGTTGCTGCTTTCAGAGTACTAAAGTTGTATTGCAAACATTCAGAAGTGCCAATATCCATGGTTTTAGCTAGTACAGCAGGAGGGAGAGAGTTACAGGTTGTTTTAACTATGAAGTTGTATTGCAATTAATCACTAGCGTTGTACTAGCTAGCTAATACTATAACTACATTACTACAATTCAAGCACAAGGTCGAGACAATATATAGTAATATGTTGCTTAATTATAACATAAGCTATGGATCTTTAAGTTCAACATGACTTTTAAGTTTCAAACATCGTGCTTACTTTCTATATTTTCTGTAGGAGGCTTTTGCCGTGTCTTCTTCCTCATGAAGATATAACTGGAAGTAATTACTATGACCACACATATTGTGACAATAATAATTATTATTCTCACAGTTTTTGTTTTGTTTGTATTTTTACCTGCAAAAAAATGAAAAATTCCTTCTAGAATTTAATATTTTGTAGATAAACGAAAATATATATAACCCAAGGGCATTTCTAACACGACTTCAAATCCAATATTTTACATCAAAATGATGTAAAGTGTAAACCATCCTCAAACCCACTTCATTTTTGCACAATTTTAATTTCTTTAATTTTCAATTTATGAAATTCTAGTTTATTTTAATTTATGAAATTCTAGTTTATTTTAATTTAATAGTTATAATTTAAATATAACAACAAATATTTTTAATATCAATTTATATATTAAATGAATGAAATTAAATAATCATAATAATAAAGTATGATATTTTCTGTATCAACTTCGACGTATGAATATATATTTTCAATTTATGTGTCGTATTTCTATTAATGCATTTGTAATATTTATTGAAAAGTATATTATAAATGTATTATTTGTTTATAAATTATTTCTTTAATAAAGTGATAATTAATTCGAATTAACTATATACGAATAGTTTATTTAATTATAACTTTTTATAACAAAATTTATGATTATCATAATAAAAAAATATGCAATACATATCTGTTAGAAGCTAATTACAAAAATGAGAATATATATATATATATATATATATATATATATATATATATATATATATATATATATATAGGTTCAGGTTAATTTGAAACCATGCTAATTTTGTGAGACCGTGAGACCAAATCTAAAAATAATTTTAAAATGCAAAATAAAAGGAAAAATTCAAAAATTCTTTTTTTAATTATTATTTTCGGAACTTTAATTACCTAAAAAAAATTACCATTTTTTTTTGAAAAATACATGAAATATTCTAATAGAATATTACACTGTAAATATTCTAATGTGATTTTTAGAATGTTAGAATATTCTATTAGATTTGTCAGATATGTAGAATATTCTACTAGAATATGTAAAAAAAGATATTTTATTTTATTTTATTTTTATTTTTTTGGTATTTTTTTAAAAAAATTTTTGGAAAATATAAATTCCGAAAATAATATTTGAAATTTTTTTTTTCGAAAATTTTCAATTATTTTGCATTTTAAAAATGTTTTTTTATCTACCAAATGAGTGGCTAGGATTACGTCTTACGGTCTCACAAAATTAGGTTGTCTCACATGAACTTAACTATATATATATATATATATATATATATATATATATATATATATATATATATATATTATGTGTTTATGGGTTCATATGAATGACATTTTATGTGTGAATCTATATCAACATCCACTGCCATTGAATTTTCAAAATCAAGAGTTATGATTGAGATACCATAATTATAGTTATCTAGAGCATCACAAATTAATTTCTTTAAAAACGATTTTAAAAGGGTAAATCATATATTTTATTATAGTATAAAAAAGAAAGATAACTAGATCATGAGTTCAAGTCTCTTAGAAGACATAGGTGGTATTTAGGAGTAGGTTTAGATAGTTTGTTGTTTCAAAAAAAAACCTAGATCTAAGGAACTCATTCAAATCCATTAATAAAAATAAAACTTTTTCCGGATCTTAAGAAAAACAATGAAGAATTTACAAAATTCTAACATTTTAGAGTAAATGTGTAGTTGAATGCCATTTTGATAGTAATGGCATTTTGGTCATTTTATGATATTTAAAACTTATGGAATGTTTTGATTATGTTTTCTGCCATTATCTTCCATTATGAAGCTATTAGAATGTATTATTATGGGTTAAGATGGAATTGAATTGGTAAGTGCAAGTATTGAATGAAATGAGATTGAAAAGGAATGAAGTTGAGCTAGAGTTCTAGTGCCACCGCGCGGTAAGCTAATAGCCGCGACGCGAAATGCGAGGCGGTGATTTTGTTCATTTCTCCATCGTAAATCGTAGACAATGTACTTTGGTCCACGGCGTGGGGGTATGGGTGCCATGATGCGAGAATAAAGTACGTTGCTATGAAGATTGGTTGCCATAGCGTGGAAAATAAGGAAACCACGACTTCATTTAGGTTTCCGTAGCGCGGTAAGGCCTTGTCCGCGACGCGGCTTCGAGCAGATTAAATTCGAGACTTAGGGTTCATTTGGTCATAATCGATCCCTTTTCTTGGAGAGCAAAGTGTCCGACAATTTCAAGCTTCAAGAAGGATCAGTGGCAATTTAGCTTGCTAGAGGCAATGTAAGACCACCTTAAACCCTTGTAGTGGTTCGTTTCTCCATTTATACTTTTGAAGGTGTTAACGGTGAAATCCGATTTTAAGGTTTTTATGCTAGATTCTTCCAAGTAATTTTACAAATAACGTTTGATTAAGTGTCTAGAAGCTTAATCCATGACTTGTATGAAGTTATAATGGTTGAAATCATGATTTGATTCTAGGGTTTTGAAACCCTAGAAAGGGAATGAAGAAGATGATGATTGTGTAGTTTAATTAAGTTAAGATAAGTGTTTATGAGCTTGATTGATATGGTTTGAAAAACATTTGAGAAAAGAATGGCCAAGTCAGGGTTTTGTCCAAAATATGAATTTTTGGCTAGAAACCACAAGTGATGTCTTAAGGGATTAAGACACATGTGCATGGTTTAATGTATGTATATGGACTAGGTAGTAGCAAGAAGGGATTTGAAGTCTGTTAAGGGAATATTTGGAAGAGTTGGAAGTAAGTTGCTATTCTTCAACCCAATGTGACTTTATACTTCTCTTTTAGAGTATGTTTATGTGATGAAGCACATGTGTAAACATGTGAATGTATGGATGTAATTAGCGATTACATCATTGTTATATGTGAATGTGTAACGCCTGTAAGTTAGGGCTAGATGATTTAGATATTACATACATGTTTTATGGGCAAATATTATGGACTTATAATATTTGTATAAAAGTGTATCATAAAATTTAACAAATTACGTAAAATAGACATTTTTGATGAAATTTTATTTAGGACAAATAGTCTTGATAAAAGTTATTGTAGTAGTGATGACGATTTCATGAGTATAAAGAATGCCTAAATCTATAAAGAAGTTATGATTTTTGTAAGTTTTGCGTTCATCACGACACAACTATATGTGCCATAAAAAGTGAACTAGAGATAGATTTCTTATTAGCCTAAGTCTTCTAAATGAAAGTCGTAGTAATCAAAATTACGAAAGTGTGCATATAATGAACGTCTAAATCCGACTTCGTATGAGGAAGTTATGTTTTTTCGAAGTTTTGAATACAACAGTGTATGACACAGAAATCGAAATTAAGATCGATGATTGTTAGCCAAAACAATGTAAACGAGAGTTGAAGATCTCATAAATACAAACTCATTGATATAGAGAACGTCAAGAATGAAGTTTGTATGACGAAGTTACTAATTTTGTAAAAATTCTAATAGTCTAAATTAGTCTAAATATGAATTTAAAATAAAGTGAGAGTTAGCTGTTGAGACCTAAAGGAAATTTTTAGTACTCGTCGATACGAATGTGTGGATATAATGAATGTCGAAAATGAAGCTCGTATACAAAAGTTGTGATTTTTAGAAGATTGTGAAAAATACTCGGAAAATAATGATGTGGCACCACCGGAAGGTGCCACATGGCAAGGCGGCGAACGAGTCACCTGAACGACACGATGACATAGCACCACGAATCAACGACATGTGGCACCACCAAAAGCTGACACGTGGCAAGGATGAAGGCAACATCGACAAAGTGACATGGCCGAATAAGCACCTGATACGTGGCACCATATGAGAGGATCTACGTAATAGAGACGTGGCACGTCTTCCCTAATCCCCTATATATAGTGGCAGATTTTGCTCATGTCCTACATCCTTTCCTCTCGAATCTCTCTCAAACTTTCCCATAATCTCGAGGTCCAACTTTGAGAGTTCCTAGTGTGAGTAGCGAAGCTCTGGAGCATCAGAGAGCCTGAGAAAAAGGAGTGTTTGTTGTAGAGATTCTGTCTGCGACCTTCTGACTTTTTGCTAGAAGTTTCTGTAAGTAAAGTTGCACTTACTATGCTTTAAGTGCAACTTATATTTATATTCGTAGTCGTTATTATAAATTTATAAATATGATTTATCAGTGATTCTAGTCATAATACTGATTAATCTACTTATGAGAATGATGTCTAAGCTAGATTTAGTGAGGTGTTTAAAGTGGATTTTCCGAACTGTATACTCTGTATACCAAACAGATCCTACCTTCGATATGATCTTACATGATTATTCCTTATGAGCTAGGTCTCGATGTATTCATTGGGATTGTTGAGGAATTTAAGGAGTAGTTATAAAACTCGTATGAATACGAAAGAATACTAGGACATAATAATACTCGTATTTAGGATGTTAGAAAGGGATAAGCTGAAGTAATAGCCAAGGAGCTAGCTTTCCCGAGGATCTTCCACCTCCACCATGATGTTTGAAAGGGATAAGCTAAAGTAATAGCCAAGTAATATATGTTGAAAGTTTATATGTGAATTATATGTTTATTGTTTGGAATATGTGATTAGATGTATATTTGATGACATGCGTTGTGCGAACCAGATATGGTTCTATATGTGTTAAGATGTATACATGATATTATTACATGATAATAATAATAGAAGTATTATTACTGAAAGGATGAATGTATGTTAGAGACCTAATACTATGTGATGAATATATAAACTAACTTAGGATAATGTGGTCTAAACAAAGTTGGTATTACATGTCGGTTATAGATAATGTAGACTAGTCTAGTTTCTAAACTGAGACGTATAAAGGATGGTTAGATCCAATGACTTGGATAATAATACAGTTGTATACTATAGCATGGTATAAACAAGAAAACGGTTTGGATGATGACTACAAGCATTATAGTCTTGCCTAGTGATGGAGTGAGACCTATAAAGGATGTTTAATTTAAGTTAAGTTGAAAGGATGTTAGATAT